ACCCTAACGATAACCAGTATGAAGTCTTCACTACCCAGCTGTTGCAGATTATGGACCCCTACATCAAGGTGTATCACGACAACATCAACACTAGCCGTCAACAAAGCTTTACCGAGTTCTTCGCCAGCAACCCACCACAGCCAGCCCAAGCCAGTGATAGTGACAGAGTCAGTGATGGTGACTTTGAGGGATTTGTCAGGGAGGCACTGATAAGTGTGGATGACAGTGATGTTGACTCACCTGAGGGCCAGTAGCCTGCCCTCTGCCTCGGAACCAGCCTCCATTCCCGTACGCCGACCCATCTCTTCTACTAACGTAAGTGTTAAACCTAACCTTGATTTTTTCTTACCTAACCTACAGTATATTATTCTCTTATTGATTGTTCTCTTCTATAATATGTGTGTGTGCATACCATCATAAAGTTAAGATGTTATTTTTACTAAAACGTACGTATTGTGTCGGAAAAAAGTGGAGTTTGGGGGTCGGCCCAGTCTCTATTTCAATTAATCCCATATGTTATGTTGTTCACTTTACACGTTTCTCGTTTTACGCAGGCCTCCGTGGGTTCAATTGACCACGTAAAGCGAGGTTTCACTGTATGTATGTATATATATATATATGTATATATATATATATATATATATATATATATATATATATATATATATATATATATATATATATATATATATATATATACAGTGGGGTATGCTATAACGAACGGTTTTACCTATAAAATTGAGAATGCTATAACGAACGAAACTCCTACAACGAACATTATTTAAATTTATTTTTTCTAATTTATTGTTTTTTTATTACAAATATTAATGATATTCTTTATTTCAGGGGTTTAGATGCATATTTATGCACTTTTTTACAATTTTTACAATTTTATATTATATTTTTCAGTGTTAAGTGGTTGTATTTGGGGGCCTGGAACGGATTAATCCTATAACAAACGAATGCTATAACGAACAAGGTTCTAGAACCAATTAGATTCGTTATAGCATACCCCACTGTATATATATATATATATATATATATATATATATATATATATATATATATATATATATATATATATATACAAGTGCTCCCCAAACTTACGACAGAGTTAGGGACCCAAATCCAGGTGCCCACCCGGGCACAGGTCACTGACCCCCATCGGGGCCTGGGGGGCGATAATGTAATAATATTAATAATGATAATGCTAATAATAATAATAATAATAATAATAATAATAATAATAATAATAATAATAGTAATAAAGAACCATAAAGAAATGCAAAATTGAAAAAAAAATCAGGAGTGAGAAAATTTACCTGTATTTATGTTGTGTTGTCAATAGTAAGAGAAGAAATTGAGACCCTGCAATTGTGTGTAAATGAGGCAGAAAGTCAGATCAGCAACTGGGACTTGGTCACAATTTTTGTGATGACATGTTCTTTGACTTCCATTTTTTATTTACGGTTTATGTACTGGTTCACATTTATTTACTTAAGTGGTTAATGTTTTAAAGCAAATTCTATTGAAATATGAATGGCAAATGAACAAAAATGAATAGAGGGACTTAAATGAGGTAGGTAAGGGAAATGTACTTTGAAATGTATGTTTTATTTCCGTAGACTTTATGTACTATTAACCGACCTTTTCGATTATTCGTCGGCCCCTCCCCCCCATATGTGGTCGGTTAATCGAGGTTTTACTGTATATATATATATATATATATATATATATATATATATATATATATATATATATATATATATATATATATATATATATATATATATATATATATACAAAATAAAGGTATACAGAAAGCCCACACAGGTAGACAGTTTTGTAGGGTTTCGTGATATTATGTTGTCTAGCACTCAGGATGGATGGAAACTCTAAGGTGGTGGTTTTCTTATATAATATAAGTTATATGGTAGACAGTCTGGTGCTGGAGATGTCGTGTGGTGAGCTGCTCAGTAGACACGTTCGGTGAGTAGCGTGTTGAAGGAGGTAGATGTGCAGGAGCTTCGTTAGAGAAGATGTTGCCTGTTGCTGGCCTCCTGGTTGAATGAAAGCTGGACAGCGAGGAGCTTGCTTGGAGGAGGTGTTGCGTGTTCAGGAACCGAGAGCAGAATAAGAGAGCTGGTTGGTGAGGACGCTCAGAGAAGGACAGCTGGTGGGTCGCCATGCTCGCCGGCGGGAGCGAGGACCGCCAGGCAGGCGGAGGAGAAGCGAGGGCCGCCAGGCAGCGGCGGAGGAGGAGGAGGTGTTGCGTGTTCAAGAAGAGAGGCCAGAATGAATCACAATGGAGAGACAGAGCTTATATACACAGCAGCCGTGAGTCACCCGTGGGAAACCCCGGTCTTTTGACTCCGTTGCTAGGATACTGTGGCATCTGGTGACGCCCCCCCCTGGGCCGCTCGTTTGGTTGCTAGGGAAGACGTAGCAGGTGGCATGCGGCTACGCAGTTGTAGGGGAGACGTCCACTACAATACTCCCCCTTCCCTCCAGGCAGTGTAGGAGACTTGTTGTCTGTAGAGTTGCTTAGCACATGTGAGGCAGACCGGGCGGTGCATGCCTCATGTGAGACAACGGCGATGGCGTGGATGAGCCGGTTGCTGGATACAACTGTCTATGTACACACTATCTGTGGGAGGAGAGAGGGAGAAAAGGGTGTGTGTAGGCGATGAATGTTGTGCTTCCCTCATGACAGGTACAGAGTCGTCAGATGTGCCTGCTGGGGTGTGTGGGCCTGGGTCAGGAGCAGGGGCTGCGTCAGCAGAAGTGGATGAGGGCTCGTGACAGCAGCTGGGTCCACGACAGCAGCAGGGTGCAGGACATTAGCAGGGAGTACCTGAGGGAGAAAAGAGGGGTGTGTGGGTCTGCACTCAGGAACAGAGGCCGCATCAGGGGCGGCAGGGGTTACTGCTGGGCCGGGGTCGGCGTCTGAGGCAGGACGGGTGTGCTGGGGTCGGTAGGACGTGGTGCTTGGGGCAGGAAGAGGAGCTGGTGTCTGCTTAGAGTAGCAGAGCTGCTTCCATGCTGCTTGATGGTGGGAGGCGTGATCAGTTTCTCCTCCATCCTGTGTGAGTGCGAATCGCCAGGGTCACCATTTGTAGGGTTTCGTGACATAATGTTGTCTTCTATGCTGCTTGAAGACTGGGAGCATGATCAGTTTTCCTCCATCCTGTGTGAGTGGTCACTCGGGGTCACCATTTGTAGGGTTTCGTGATATAATGCTGTCTAGCACTCAGGATGGATGGAAACTCTAAGGTGGTGGTTTTCTTATATAATATAAGTTATATGGTAGACAGTCTGGTGCTGGAGGTGCCGTGTGGTGAGAGCTGCTCAGTAGACATGTTAGAGATAGCGTGTTGAGGTAGATGTGCAGGAGCCGTTAGAAGAATGTTGCCTGTTGCTGGCCTCCAGGTTGAATGAGAATGGGACAGCGAGAGCTTGCTTGGAGGGTGTTGCGTGTTCAGAACCCGAGAGCAGAATAAAGAAGCTGGTTGGTGAGGACGCTCAGAGAAGGACAGCTGGTGTGTCGCCATGCTCGCCGGGCGGGAAGCGAGACCGCCAGGCAGGCGGAGGAAAGCGAGGGCCGCCAGGCAGCGGGAGGAGGAGGTGTTGCGTGTTCAAGAAGAGAGGCCAGAATGAATCACAATGGAGAGACAGAGCATATACACAGCAGCCGTGAGTCACCCTTGGAAGCCCGGTCTTTTGACTCGTGCTAGGATACTGTGGCATCTGGTGACGCCCCTGGGCCGCTCGTTTGGTTGCTAGGGAAGACATGGCAGGTGGCATGCGACTCGCAGTTGTAGAGCGTCCACTACAATATATATATATATATATATATGAATATTCCTATAACGAACGGTTTTACCTATAAAATTGAGAATGCTATAACGAACGCAATTCCTACAACGAACGAGGATGAATACGGGACTATTTCGTCTGGCGCATGAATATTGTTGTACCACGGCTCACAACAAAAGCGTCAGGCGCCATCTTTGTCTCATTGTGTCGCCAGTGCACCACTGTTATTGTTGAAATTTCGTCTTTTGATGTGGAAATTCGTGGTATTTGTATAACTATTTTTTTATACAAGTATACAATTGTAACAATGAATCATCCAAAGCGAGTGAGAAAGCTAATAACCCTTGAAACTAATTAAGAAATCATGAAGAAACGTGAGAATGGAACAAGCATTGCGAAACTTAGTGATGAATATGGGATGGCTAAATCGACTATATGTACGATTTTGAAGAATAAAGAGGAGTTAAAAACTGTGCAAGTGGCTAAGGGAATCTTTAGACTTAGCAAAGCAAGGTGTAATGTGATTGAAGAGATGGAATATTTACTCTTACTGTGGATAAAGGAGAAAGAAATGGCAGGTGATAGCATTAAAGAAGCTATAATTTGTGAGAAGGCCAAACAATTGTTTGAGGACCTTAAAGCCAAGACTCCCAGTGGAAGTGATAGTGCTGTGCCAGTGTTTAGGGGTACCTGCATGCTGAACAACACTAAGGTAAGATAAAGTACCGTATTTTTTACATTTTCCACAGAAAATTTTCAGTGTTAAGTGGTTGTATTTGGGGGCCTGGGACGGATTAATCCTATAACGAACGAGGTTCTAGAACCAATTCGATTCGTTATATATATATAAAACCTCGATAAATCGGACTTCAATATATATTCAATATATATCGGAATTTGCTTTTTTCGGACTCAGAGATGCTCTGGTCACCAGATAGGCCTATACATAAAAAAAATAACGTAATAAATCCATGTTTTAAGAAATGGGGAAGATTAATAAAAGATTCTTGTGAAATGAAGAACACTTACTGAATACTGTACAGTGGTCTAATCAGATTTGCTATAGGCCTACTGAGAACTAAGACACTTGAGTATGTAAGCAGGCTGGGGCTGATCAGGTGTTGCCACATTTGTCAGCTTTATTTATTTATTCAGTATTATATTCTCATATGATTGGCCTCTTATGGTTTATGGTTCATCATGATTAACATAGCATCTTCAGTAATAGAGAAAAATACAATACAGTACTGTATGTAATTTGTAATATGACTTGAAAATAAAAGGATAAGCTGCATCAGGTTATTTACTCAAGATGTGTTATTGTGAGAGCTTTCAGCAAACTGGCTTACAACAGGGTCACTATAACACAGTGTATAGTAATTGATATGAAGTTACCTTTCTAAAAACGTTATTTACTACCTGTGAGTGTTATATGATGACTCAGTTTGGCTACTTGTACACTTAGACAAATGATTAATGAATAAACCAGGGTATATGCTGATACATAAAACTTTACACTACAATATTGCTTATCAAGTGATGGTAAATACACTACAATAGTATTTATTAAGTGGTGATAAATACACTACAATAGTATTTAAGCAGTGTTGTACGTTGACGCCGTTAATTTAACGCCATCAATGGACGGCGGCAACTTTTTGTTAACGCTGACGCCATAAATTTTTGGGGCAGGTGACGCAGTCAACTTTTCACCCGAGCGGAGCGTCAATTTGTTCGTCAACTTGTAAAATTTTTTCTTTTTCCAAGTTCGATTTTCAATTATCTTGCTATAAAGACGACCGGGAGAAATTTTGCCACGCCCACCAGCCGCGCACCTGCGCAGCTTTCTACAGATTTGAATTTTCAAGTTTGAACCAGAATTGTACTTGCTTCCTGACCGTTAGCATTGTGGTGTGAAAATGTGCGACCGAAAACATGATTCACAACGGAGCCGGCGGCGAGAGGGGCGCTGTTGCACCCGGGACAGTGCAGAGCAGGGGCACTGGGGCAGTGTGGTGAGGAGCGCGAGGGGTAGTGTGTGTTTGCGCAGAGTGGTGGCAAGGCAGCGTGTTGAGTGTGCAGAAGAGGGTAGTGACTGTGTCAATGGTGACCAGTGGTGATCAAGCGAGTAACGCCAGCCTCCAGATCCAGGCTAATACCTCCAGCTCTGCCACAAGTGAGATGTCCCAATCCTCCCGGGACAAGGAAGGGCGACAGGGGACCGGGAATGTCCAGCCAAATCGAGGTCCTTGGCCCTACATCAGCAAGTACTTCAAGTATGTCTCCTTCAAGGGGGACACCTTGTACTGCCAGTGCCAGATGTGTCTGCCCGCAAAGAAGATGTTCTCTTGCACCGAGAAGTCGCAGAATGGCCTGAAAAGTCACTACCAGCACATTCCTGCCTCCTGCTTTAAGGAATTCAAGTACTGTATGGCCGAAGGCAGCAAGGCATCCAGGTCGAAGAAGCGACCCCTTGAGCAAGAAGGCCAGAACAAGAGGAAGAGGAAGGAGTTGGTGCAGCCTACCTTGACGGCCGCCCTGGCAGGGCCGTCGAAGTACAGCCAGTCTTTCATAGACGATACGGTAATTTAACTATTTAAGTTTATTTATTATTTTTTTCTACACAGTTTTTAATCAATCCTTCATTCATTGGGAAGCATTTCATGCAGTTGACTACTGAATTCAGTGAATTGATGTCAAGACTGAAAATTCAATAATTTTATTAAAATCTAAACTATTTAAATGTAACAATTTGTGATTTTAAATTGATACATTCCTTCTGTTCTAACAGATCATCGACTTCGTCATAGAAGACATGCTGTCGATGAGCGTGGTGGAGTCACGTGCCTTCAACGAGCTTGTCAACCTTATACCTGGCCACAACAAGAACTCTATGATCAGAAGAAAAGTCATTAAGCGTATTGAAGACAGGTATTGTCCTATTATTTTTTAATTAGATTTTATTTGTAACTTTTTTAAATGTACATAAAATAATTAAATGTTATAATTTTATTTTAATTTTTCAGTTATGAGCTTCAAAAGGAGCAGCTCTAAAACACCCTGAGCAATTTGCCTTGTGTTGCCACAACTGCCGACGCTTGGACATGCAGAAACAGGTGTGTACTAAATGTTGTTTTTGTAGACTTCCCTTTTATAAATTGTCAACATTATATTTGATATTTATTTTGTTTTATTTCAGGTCTTACTTGGGCACAACAGTCCACTGGATTGACCCCGAGGCCTTAAAAAGGCAGCAAAGGGTGTTGGCCTATCAACGTTTGCTGGGCAGACACACATACGACCACTTAGCCAAGACCATCCATGACATCCATTTCATTTTTGGCATTACCAACAACGTCGTCAGCACCACCACAGACAACGGCACCAATTTCGTCAAGGCATTCAGGTAAGTTACATTTTAAATTAAAATGAAATTTCAGTTTTATTTCACTTTTAACCAAATTTTAAATTAAGAAAAAAACAACACCCAACCAGTGTAACATAATTAAATATGCAGTTTTTAAATTTAATTTTTAACAACTTCTCTTTTGCTCTTCAGTGTCTTTGGCGAGCCTGATGAAGACTGGGTACTGGTAGAGGACCCCCCTCAGGTGGAGCCTGACGACGAAGGCGAATCAGACGACCATGTCGAGGTGGATGATGTGGCAGCTATTCTGGCCAATGGAGAGGAGACTCTCTATGAGCTGCCCAAGCACTTGAGGTACACCGCCCACACCCTGAACCTTGTGGCCACCACTGACGCCGAGAAGGCCTTCTCCGACAACAACTACAAGGCCAACCATTCTGCCTTTGGCAAGGCTCTCTCTCTTTGGAACAAGCAGCATAGGTAAGTTCAAATTGCATAAAAAAATAAATTAATTATAATTCTATCAAAAAATAAAAAATGAAATTTGAGATTTTCATTAGTTAAAAATTAAAAAAAAAGTTTTGATCTAAAGAAAAAATTCTTAACTGTTTAAACTTATAATTACAAAACAATGAACATTTTAGGAGTTCCCAAGCCTCAGACATCATGAGTCAGGAGGTTGGGAAGCTGCTTGTCGAGCCCAACGCCACCAGGTGAAACTCGGTGTACGACGCGGTCGTCAGGCTGGTCAACATGTTTGACAACAAAGAGACGGACCTTCAGAATGCATGTCGAAAACTGGAAATTCATTTCTTTACAACATGTAAGTTAACAAATGTAAATTAATTAAATTATACAAATTAATTAAATCATTATTTTAAATTAAAATAAATTCATTACAGTATTATTAAGTTTACTAAGTTTTACAGACAAATTGTGAACACAATTTTTGTTTCAGACGACATTGCATTCTTAAGGGAGTACAAAGATGTCATGGGTCCCATTGCCGTCGGTTTGAATTTCCTGCAAGGGGAGGAAATGATCTACTTGGGCTGCCTGTTGCCCACGTTCGCCAGTGTCCTCAACAGTCTCGCGGCAAAGGAGGTGGACAATTACCTTGAGTACTGCAAGACCCTAGTTCACAGTCTTATCCAGGGCTTGAAGAAAAGATAATTGCTGTATTAAAATTTTACATTTGAAAAGCAGCATGTTTAAAAATTGAAAAATACAGTCAACCCTCACTTTATGCAGGGTACCGCGGAAAGTGAGAAACGCGTAAAGTGAATAACATAACATATGGGATTAAATGAAATAGAGACCAGCTGACCCCCAAACTCCACTTTTTCCAACACAATACCTATGTTCTAGTAAAAATAACATCTTAAATTTATGATGGTACATGCACACAATTAATACTTAAGAGAAATAGAGAAATACAGTCGCCAAGTTAATGTCCATTCAAATAATGGACTCCACTCCCTCCCCCTCTTCTCACAGTACACTCACTGGCTCTTCCCTCTGAGAAATTTTGGGGGGAAAACCAGGTATAGTAATAAATAATACCTCAAACTAAAGTTAGGATAATATAATTGACATTGCTGGATTCCTTGTAAGAGAAGGAATATTTTGAATATAAATGTCATATATTTTTCACAAAAGATAACATATTTACTCAGAGTAAACGTTACATCTAAAATTTGTATGTCTAATGCAAAATCTATGATGTTTATATTCAAAATGATCATCAAATTGTAAGAATTCCAGCAATGTAAATTATATTCTGGCCGGGTAATTTGTATGAATTTTATGAGCTAAAACAAATATCTTCAGTTAATAAAAAAAAAAATATTCTTCAGACACTATCTGTCAATCAAAGTACCCCACCTTTCCTCCCCCCTCTTCCAACAAGCCAGATGGTCAGTCCATCCCAACCCTCCCCCCCCACCTCCCACCAACCCACCCTTCAAGAGAAAGAGTGGGTGAAAAAACTAGATTTTAACATTTAGTATTAAATAATACCTCAGATTAAAGTTAGGATAATATAATTGACATTGCTGGATTCCTTGTAAGACCAGGAATATTTTGAATATAAATGTCATATATTTTGCACAAAAGATAACATATTTACTCAGAGTAAACATTATATCTAAAAATTTTATGTCTAATGCAAAATATATGATGTTTATATTCAAAATGATCATCAAATTGTAAGAATTCCAGCAATGTAAATTATATTCTGGCCGGGTAATTTGTATGAATTTTATGAGCTAAAATAAAAATCTTCAGTTAATAAAAAAAAAATATTCTTCACACATGCCAGGTGGTCGGTCGCCGGTCCCTCCCTCCCCCCCACCCCCCACCAACCGTCCCTACTAGATAAATGTGTGGGAATACCAGACTGTTTACCTTTTTAGTAATAAATAATAAATCAGACTAAAGTTAGGATAATATAATTGACATTGCTGGATTCCTTGTAAGACCAGGAATATTTTGAATATAAATGTCATATATTTTGCACAAAAGATAACATATTTACTCAGAGTAAACATTATATCTAAAATTTGTATGTCTAATGCAAAATCTATGATGTTTATATTCAAAATGATCATCAAATTGTAAGAATTCCAGCAATGTAAATTATATTCTGGCCGGATATTTGTATGAATTTTATGAGCTAAATAAAAAATTATACTTCACCCGTGTAAAGGGGTATACCCACCGCGGAATGTGAGCATCCTGGGTTCTGGCAGGGCACCGTGTAAACGTGGAAACGCGGAATGTGGGACCGCGTAAAGTGAGGGTTGACTGTATCTATGAATAATAAAATGAAATTATTAACTGATTTTTTATTTACATCTCTCGTCTTATTGTAGGTTTGGCTACCTCTTCCACGACATGGACTGCACCCCAACTACAGGCTGTCACGCTGGCTCATCAACATTAATGCAGAGGAAGTCAGGAAAAAGGCCACCAACCAGCTGTCCAGGTTGGTGGAGAAGTCCGTGCACGAGACTGAGAGCAGCAGCAGCAGTGAGGGAGACGACAAAGACCATGACGTGGAGGACGAATTGTCCCAGACCCGACCCTGTACGAGACCCCCTGCACGAATGAAAAAGACAGTGACCTTTTCAAGCGTTTCCTGGGGGAGAAACCTTTGAAAAAAACTTTTGACAAGGACACCTTCCCCAACAAGGCCATGAGGGAGCTGTTCATCAAATACAACACCCCCATCCCCTCTAGTGCTGCCGTGGAGCTCATGTTCTCCATGGGCAAGTACGTCTTGAAGCCCAAGCGCAGCAGAATGAGCGACAAGCATTTTGAGTTGCTAATATTCTTGAGGGGGGAACAAATGAATAATTAAAATTATATAATATAAATCATAATAAATTATTAAAAATGAATGAATATTTTTTTATTTTGCATATGTTACTCCCATACACAGGAGAATATGCATTTTGGGGCTGCATTTGTACGTCACTGAAAACTCGTTGACGCTAGGTGTTGACGCTGACGCTACCAGCGTCAATTTATTAATCTTTTTCGCCAACACTGATGGCATCAAATTTCTCGGCGGTTTACGCTGACAGCGCCACTTTTTTCTTGTTGACGAGTACAACACTGTATTTAAGTGATGATAAATTCACATCTGTACTGTACTATTTTACTAAGTGTTGAAGACAGACATTGTGGTAAGCAAATCAGCTGTTTGCTCTTTGTAAACATATGACTCCGTTCAGAGTGGGATTCTTTATTTCAGGAAAGCCGATTCTTTTAGGATAATATTTTATCACCCTGGCACCAAATGATCCTAAATTATATGAGAATTATTGTAAAATTGCATAAAGAAGTGTTAAAGGAATCTTGGGGGAAGAATACCCACCTGTGCTACCCCTCCTCCCCTCTGCTCCCAGATAAACATTCGTCTTCCACATACTTATTTGTTCTTATTTTTATCTTTATAGTACTGTACAGTATACAGTTTTCTCTTTATTCATAAGACAAATTCAGTGGTTACTTACATATAACACTTTACAGTAAATAATAATCATCTCGGTGACAACCAGACTTACTGGGGGTATATGTCTGATTTTCAACCCAGAGTTGTATTTCATATTTTTTTTTATTGTTGATGTAATATTCTTTTAATAACCTTGTTATGCACTTAAAGACCTTAGTTGTTGAAGTGCAGTAATAACATAACAACAACTGATTTTCTTTAAACAGTTCAGGTAAGCAGTGTTATCTCCAACCCCCTCCCCCCATATTCGTATTTTTCGGACTGGAGCCTGTCCCAATTAGTCCTATTTATCGTGTATATATATATATATATATATATTATATATATATATATATATATATATATATATATATATATATATATATATATATATATATATATATATATATATATATATATATATATATATATATATATATATATATATATATATATATATATACAGTGAGTTCTGCTATAACGCGTGTTTTGATAACGCGAATTTGCTCTAACGCGATTTATGAATTCGGAACAATATTTGTATAACGCGATCGCTTGTTTGCTATAACGCGATTTTTGCTTACTATTTCTCCAATTTTGTGGTATTAACTGTGAATATGGTAAAGAAGAATATCTCCAAAAAGCATTCTGATGATAGAATTCCCGGTGATTATCGTAAAAGAAAGGATATAACACTTGAAGAGAAGCTTGATGTTATCAACCTCAAAATCACCCTTCTCCCCCATCAAGTTACATTCATATTTTTTCAAGGTAAAGTGTTAAATTTACTGTATGATTTCATTATTAGATATGAATGTAACATTTATTTAGACTGTGCTATCCTTTGTGTTAGGCTAACTACTAAATTTTTTCGATTTCGAGTAATCTGCACCTAACCCTATTTTCTCCATAAGCCCTGTTATTTCTATTACGCGATTTTCTATAACACGATATTTTACAAGAACACAATTATAGTTATAGAACTAACTATATATATATATATATATAATATATATATATATATATATATATATATATATATATATATATATATATATATATATATATATATATATATATATATATATATATATATATATATATATATATATATATATATATATATATATATATATATATATATATATATATATATATATATATATATACATATTTGAAATTTGAACCTCTTTAAAAAATTTCATAGTAAAAACCACAATAAATAATACCAGCTTTTAATAACATGTCAATAAAAAAATATTTATTTCTCACAAAATTCAATATCATTACTGTGTGTACTGATAAGAATATTCTCCAAGCATCTTCCTGCTCAGTGAGATACTGTATTACATACACAATAAACGTTTTGAAAGTAGCAGGACTTTTCAGTGCTATTAAGCATTAAGTGTCTTCAAATATTGGTGAAGTAACTCCTTTAGAAGTGATTTAAAAAGTTAATTTGCTCTAAGTAGTCCTTGTTATTATCAACTATGTATATTTAGGTAAATGTGCATTACTTTCCTATTACTGTACTAACTTGGATCATATATCTTCTATTCCATTGTTGTTAATAAGAGTTAATACCCTGCCAGTAAATGGAAAGTTAATCATGCAATTGAAAATTAATAAATAAAGGCATTCACCAACTACAAAGTATACAGTATTTCTCTCCAAATTAACTTGGACAAAATGTGGATGCAGATGTCACCCGATGCCAGGGGTGATAGAATAGTTTTTCCTCTCCTTCGTAATGGTGAGCTTAATGTAATTCAATTAACAAACCTTCTAGTAGCCAACAGATACTTCTTTAATAAAACATTGGCATTACATAAAAAAAAATCTCAACTGCTATATAATGTGTTTTCTCTCTCTGGGTTTATTCCTTGTCTGATATGCATAAGTAAAGTTGAATGTGGGTAAAGTACTGTGCTCTGTGACATGAGCATCAGTAAACAACTTATAAAAGACATACTGTACTGTACTTTTAGCAGTATTAATACAATACTCTGCATGAATTAGTTATTGACTGCTATATATATTAACTGGATATATTATCAATAAATTGTAAATTAAAATTAAGTCAGATGTATCAGTGATGTACTGCAACACAATTATAATTTCTTCATATGGTAATTTAACAGCCAGATATATGTACAGTCTCCAAAAAGTATCATTAGCCCTGGAGTTGATGTGATTCGAGGCTTTCCGAGCAATGTTACTTGACCTGTTTCTGAACGGTTCGTAGTTCTACATCCGTGACCTTTGAGCATGAATGAGCGTATATGTTTTGGAACAATGTGTATCCTCTGAGGCTTTAGATCATATATTACATGTCTCGAAGTGGATGTTGTAAATGGATATCAATGCCATACCAGTCATCAATAGGATCTTACATCGAATGAAGTGAGGAATTATTGGGGAGACATTGCAAGATATGAGAGGTGCTATTATTGCCCTTCACAACGAGGGTACATGTAATGGCGTACTGCATATGTAACGCTGAGAAATCATGTTGAACTGGGGTGAGCGAAGCCAAAGTATCATGATAGGTTAGGCACCATGAAACAATTGGGGCAATACTGAAAGTTACAACCACAAATGTCTTACTATACAGTAGATGGATGGGGGATTCTGTTGCCTGGAAGTCTCTTGATGTGAAACTTTATTTCAAAGTTAAACCGATGCAATTTAAAAATCAGTAACATGGCAGTCCCCATGTCGACTGATTATTGTATACTGCTGTAGCTGTTCACTCTAATATCAAGTACTATTTACTGAGTCACTCCTCATAAATCAGACATATCATGAACAACATGAGCAAGCAAATTGTGAAATGCAGTATGAATGTAACTATGTTAGTACAATGACCTAATAGTGATATGTCCATTTTGAGGTCTCAGTCTCATATGATGTTCTGAAACACTTCCATTTAATGTATATTTCAATGTTATTGTAATCATCAGTCAGTGGCTTGTTTTTACATGCTTTGCTTCTACCCAGCAAGATACAGTACATCCATTAATATAGCTTAATGGATTTCTGGTTATATTTAAGTATTTAGTACCAACTTATGATGATGCACTGGGGATCATATCAAAGCAATGGAAAATCCAACGATACTTTTTGGGGGGACTGTACATCAGAATACAGTACTGTATAGGATTTACTAACATATCTAACAATAGCTGGGGGGTTTTCATATCAGCTCTCACAAATGGTATACTGTACTATAACTAGTGAATACTGATATACCATACTGCAAAAATTTACAACATTTTGATATAATGTATGTTACATATTGTAACTTACATAATGTGTATCATGGAAAGATATACATGTAATGTGGTCACATATCCACAAAGAAGTTGTGTAAATAACAACAGTCTTATAAAATATGCAATATTGGCATGTATAAACTGTAAGGTGAATGAGGGCAGTAAGATATAGTTATTATACAACAAGAAAACACCAGTGAGGTATTGACAAACCCCTGCAACCCCACTTGACATTCCTGTGCCACACCCCAGACCAAGACAAACGGTTACCTCTGGACCTATAAAAAGAATCACAGTCTGTTTAGGGGATTAAACTATGTACAGAGGTGCTCGCGTAAGGGTTAAAACGACGACCACACAGTGACTAGACCACTTGCTCAGACTCCACACACAACTGCACCACAAATAATTACTATAGAGAGTTTAGATTCTTTTAACATTCAGTATTGTATATTGAGAAAATTCAAATGATTTTTTTTTTTACCCTGACAGTCTGTATTGAGGAAATGTGTAGTGCATTTCAGAAGTGCATCAAAAGCCAATGGAACCTTAGTTACTGTGGTGGGATAAGTTAATGAGTCGGGTAAAGACAGGCCATTCACTGGAGGAGTGACTGAGCCAGGTGTGGGTAAAGGATCCTCAAAATGCCTCACCATCTCTTTCCTAGGTGACTGGTTATGATGTCACCATCATTCACATCCATTATAATAAACAAAGAAACAAAATAAGCTAAATATTTCAATTCCAGTCTACATCATAATTTTGGTCTCTCCTTATTTAACAAAGTTTCAACTGAACTACAACATGGTACAGTAACACAATAACTACAATTTAAAATATTGTCTCAAAGTCTCTGTATATGTTCAGCTAATACCAAAATTATTTTATGCTCTGTTGATAATGAGCTTCAGTAAACATAAAATGAAATAAGTTACATATCTAGCAAGCAGCACGTGTTGTTTTTTGTAACTACAGTGTACACCATCCATCACCAGTCTACTTTATTCATAATGACTCTCAAATTATACAATGCAAGACTCTTCCATGACCCTTATTTAAAATTATTATATATCTTCAGGAATGCATTACACCATTCTGAATAAATGGTTGTACAGTACAAAGCATATTCTGAATACAGGCATGTATGTGCCATCAATATTGATACAAACGGATGAATGCCACTACACATTCTGTAGATCCAGGACATAACCAACCTTCTAAGCACTGCCTAGTACTATTAATCTTCCTTTAGATAACCATAAAATGAACTAGATACAGTACTAGTAAAGATACTTCTCCAATACAGGCAACTGACTACATTCCAGCTGAAAACCTGCAATACAGAGATGACCTCTGTTAATCTACAGGATATACAGGCTGTAGTTATTATTGACACAGCAATATCTTTAAACCATATTTGATAATGCCTTTGTCACCCTGCCTTGCTAAGTCTTGTCCTAACTTCCTAAACAAACAAACAACTGGGATAAAATAGTAATTTCTAGCTGTATTATCAAGTGCTATTACATATTCAACTTGCATTTAAGTGCTATGCAAGACCTTGGCTCCCCAAGTAGCACAACCAGTCAAGCTTCCAGCTTCAGTTATATTTTCATTTCTTCTGCACACAGTAAAAATTACAAACTTTTGAAAACACATCCTATCATTCTCAAAGAATATATTCTATCATGAATACTTTCTCTAAGAACATATCTATCACAAATACATTCTTAGAATATATTTCATCATGAATACTTTCTCTAAAAATATATTCTACCATGAATACTTAATCTGAGAATATATTCTATCATGAATACAATCCATAAGAATTTATTGTATCACAAATACATTCTCTACTATAATCCATCATAAACATATT